CAAAACCCAAATATTCACCAATAAATAAAATGCTGTGTAGTAAAACTCTAAATACAATAGAATTCTCTCCAGCAATAAAAACAAATGAATACATATAGCCACATGAATAAACCTTAAAATAATTATACTGAATAAAAGCCATGAAAATAAGGGACACACCATATGACTCCATTTACACAAAATTCTAAGAAATACAAATTAATGACCACTAGCAGAAAGCAAATCGGCAGTTGCCTGGGGAATGAGGGTAGAGAAGGCAGGACAGGGAGGGGCAGGAGGGAAAGATTCCAAGGGGAAGGAAAAACTTTTAGGAGCGATAGGTATTACCTTCATTGTTGGGATGGTTTCAAGGATTTACACATGTTACAATTTACCAAATTATAAACACTAAGTATGGGGTTTTATTTTGAATGTCTATTATTCCTCAATAAAGCTGTTTTATAAAAAGATGAATTAAGAAGATATACATGTATGAAAATACACATGTAAAAAAATTAAAAATCTGCACTAAGTATCCTCTAATATGGCCCAAGTGAGCCTTGCCCCTGGTATTTATGCCTGTGTGCAACCCTCTTGAGTGTAGGTTGAATTTAAAGACTTATTACTAAGGAACAGAACACAGTAAAGGCAATGGGCTGTAACTTCCACCCATAAAAAGACCGTTTCTTTCCTGGACATGTGCTTGCTCTGAGTGAAGCTGGCTGCCATAATATGTACTCTTAAGCTACAGAGAAACCCATTCTGGTAAAGATCTGAGCAGACAAATCTACCCGCAGAGTCTGCAGTGAACTAGACCCAGTAATTGCAGGACTGACCTGTGAAGCCTATCCGCTCTGGAAGAGCATTCAGGTGGGAACACAGGCCTGGCTAAGGGTCTGACTGCAGCCTCCGGTAGCATTCTGTACCAGAGGTGCTCAACAGAACCACAACTGGATTCCAGATCCACAGAAACAGTGCAATAGCAATGTCTGTTTCTTAAAGCTATACTTCTTAGAGATGTTTATTTATTCATATTTTTATTTTGCTGGGGATTGAACCAGGGCCTTGTGTAATGTTAGGCAAGCACTCTACCACTGAGCTACACCCCCAGTCCAGGTATGCAGTTTTGCTACAGTAATAGGTAACTAATACAAGATCTAATTCATATTTTTAAAAGGCCTACAAAGCAACTGTAGTCAGTTAAATATATTCAGCCAAAAAGAACAGAATATTTAACTAAAACTGAATTAAACTAAGGCTCAATTTTCTCAAGTGACATAAAGTCCAGAAGTATGACCGCCCAAGGCTGCTACAGTATCTTAAAATGCCACCCTGACCTTTTCATTTAGGCTCAGCCATTCTTTGGGAACAGAGCTTCAGCCTCATGCTCATTACTCTGGGGTTTCACTATGACCATATCACAGAAGAGGAAGAAGCTTTGGATTTATAAAGAAATGAACACTTTCCTAGGAAACTTGAAACTACGCTTCTACTTACACCTCAGTTACCAGAACTGGTTCCACTGCCACCCATAATTGCAAGGGGTCAGGGAAAGATGAGCTTTTTCTTTCTGAATACTGTTCCCTCAAAGTAAGTGCTTTGTTAGTAAAGAACAGAAAAATGTTTATTAGGTAGGCAACTATAGTATATGCCAAACAATATATTTTATTTGTGGTAAAATAAAAAATATTACAGGAGTTTGGAGAACAAGAACCCTTTAGCGATGGGCTCTTGAGAAGGTTTCTGAAAGGAGAGATGTTTAGAATTCGGGTAAGGAGAAAGGAATTTGGCTAAGGAAATTCTTTTCAAAGATAAAAGCACAAAAAAACCCCAGGAGACAGGAAAATGCCCCCCAGGATGACACTATTAGAAGGTAGGGACCTCAGAAAGTAGGGTCCAGTGAAGATGTGGAGGTCTTTGGGAGGTAGTCCTTCAGTTCGACAGGGGGGACCTCAACCCTCTTCTCTTGGCCCCCTGACCTATAGTGCACTCTTGTAGTGGTGTGTTGTCTTACCACAGAACCAAGGCAACTAGGCCATGTTAGTCAGTTTTCTGTTGCTGTGACAAAATACCTGAGATGATAAACTTCTAAGGAGAAAGGTTTACTTTGGCTCAGGGTTTTGGAGGTTTCAATCCATGCTCACTTAACCCTGTTGCCTTCTGGCCAGGCAGTGCATCGCAGTGGTGAGGGCATAGCAAAGGAAGCTACTCACTTCATGGCTTCCTGGAAGAAAAGAAAGAGAATGGCCCACAGTCCCCATGTCCTCTTCAGGGGCACAGCCCCAGTGACCTAACTTCCTTCCACTAGGCTCTACCCCTTGAAGGTTCTGCCATCTCCTGCGAGTGCTGCAGGCTAACAACCACAGCCTTAACCCAAGGGATTTGGGGGGATGCTTATTCCAAATGATACCAGGGCCGATCAGCCATGGACTACAACCTCAAAACTATGAGCCAAAACAAATTTTTCTAAGTTAATTACCTCAGTTTTTACAGTGATCAGGAACTGACTAATTCGACCTTGTATAAAGTTTCTAATTGCACACAGCTAAGCTTTTTAAAGAATTGCTATATGATGAACATGCAGGAAAGCAAAATACAGCATTGTATGTCTCAAGATAAGACACATACAAAGAGCCGGGCTTGGTGCTGCATGCCTGCAAGTGCAGGAGGATTGCTGTGAGTTTGAGGCCAGCCTGGGCTACATAGGGAGTTCAAGGGCAGCCTGACTTACGTAGCAAGACCCTGTGTCCAAAAAGAGGGACAAACAAAACCCAAGAAAGATATGGACAAAGGATCTGAAGATAAACATTTCACCAAGGCACATTTACAAATGGCAAAAGAAAGGACATGCATTAATCATAGAGGAAATGGAAAGCAAAACCACATCAGATACCACTTCACAACCAGCAGGATGACAAGATAAAAAGCAGGTGGCAACTTCGGGGGGAAGTGGAGGAACTGGGACCCTCACCCACTGGTGGCAGGAACGTAAAAGGTACAGCTTCTTTTGGAAAACAGCCTGAGAGTTCTTCAAATAATTAAACATAAGAGTTACCAAGTGTTCCAGCAATTAAATAAAATGCATAAAATTACAAAGGAAATATATTCTATTAAAATGCCATTATTCAAGACAATCATATACCAAAAATAAAAATAAATAATTTTGACACAGACCTTACACCTTTCACAAAAATAAACTCAAAATGGAGAATAAATCCAAATGTAAAGTGAAAAAACTGTAAAATTTCTAGGGGATAACACAGAAGAAAAAAAAAAAAAAAAGAGAGAACATAGGAGAATATCTAGATAACGTTCAGTTTGGCAATGACCAGAATAATCAGTGAAAGAAAAAACATCATGAAAATTGAAACCTTTTCTGTGAAAGAATGAAAAGACAAACTATACACTAGGAGAAAATCTCTGAAAAATGCCTACCTGCTAAAGGACTAGTATCTAAAAATACAAAGAACTATTAAAACTCAATAGTAAGAAAACTGAAAGAAACTTTAAAAAGTGGGTAAAAAATCTAAGCGAACATTTCCTTTCACAGAGGTGGCACATAAATACATAAAAAGATGTTCCACATGGTGTTATCAGGAAATTGCAAGTGAAGACATTGAAGTAACAGCACACACTCACTAGAATGGCTAAAAGACAAAACACGGACATCATCAAATACCGGTGATAGTGTGGAACCGTAAGAGCTCTCACCATGGCAGTGGAAATGTAAATGGTCCAGCCACCCTGCAGACACTTTGGCCGCTTCTTGGAAAGCAAACATACACTTACAACATAACCCAGCAATCATGCTCGCTGGTGTTTAACCAAAAGATCTGAAAGCTTATGTTCACACAAAAACCAGCACACAAATATTTGTAACCGTCATAACTGCCAAAATTTGGAAGCGGCCAAGATGTTCTTTAATAGTTCAATGGAGATGTTTGATAGCTTAATGGATAATCAAACTGGTATATCTGCACCATGGAATATTGTTCACCAAAAAAAGAAGAAAAGATTATCAAGCTATCAGAAAGGACAGAAGAACCTTAAATGCATATGGTTAAGTTAAAGAAGCTAGTGTGAAACAGTTGCACACTGTATGATTCCAAGGGTAAGATAGTCTGGAAAAGATAAAATTTTGCGGTCAGTATAAAGATCATTGGGGGAAGGGTAAGATCAGGGTTGGAGGAGAGGGAAGGAAGGATAGAAAGAGCATAAGATTTTGCAGCAAAACTATTTTATATGATACTTTGATTGTGGACAAGTCATCACACATTTGTCAAAACTCACGAAATGTATAGCAAAGAATAAGCCCCAGTGACCTTCAGTTAATACTGAGAAATCAAATCAGTTCATCAAGTATAACAAATGTATCTCACTAATACAGGGTATAAATAACAGGGGACCTGGGCTGAGTGGTAGGCTAGTCCTGGTCTCTAATCACAGAACTCAGAAGGCCAAGACAGGAGCAGGATCATAGATTGCAGGCTAGCCTGGACTACACAGCAAGTTACAGGCTGGAGTATACAATGAGACCCTGTATCTAAATGGATGAACGAACGAACGAATGAATGGGAAATTGTGCGGGTAATGAGAGAGAGGGAGCAGGTGAGGAATTCTCTGTACTTCCCCTTCAATTCATCATCTATAAACCTAACTTTAACTGTCCCCTCTAAAAGGCTATTGATAAAAAAAAAGAAACTAAAATACTAGAAAACAGCATCATGACATGTGAGAAAATGAAAGTTAAAACATTCTAAGGTCATAGCATTGTTTTTTGTTTGTTTTGTGGTACTATGGATCTATCTGGGGTGCATGCATGTTAGGCAAACACTCTGCCACTGACCTACATCTCCAACCCTATTGCTTAGGAGAAAGATAGAGATGTTGATTATCTTTAAACTTTGCACCAAGTAATTCATGTTAAAAATGTAAGGGACACTCTAAATGAAAAAAGGATTAGGTACAACCAATCTTTGCGTTACAAACCAAATCTATTATTTTTAACTGTGGTGGCTTACCTGAGATTCCAGAGCCTCCAATTTACGTTTCCTTGCATGGAGAGCTTTACTTGGAAAAGCCCAATAATAATTAGATGTTCCAATCCTCTCACAGTCCACCATACCATCATCAACTAAGCTTTGGAGAACTTCTTTTACTGACATAGCGGCTGAGAGAAAGAATTTTTAAAGACTCTACTAAAATGCAGCATAAATAAAATTAAAAAGCAAGTAACTTTTGCAAAAATATTGTATCTCGAGTTAGTTAAAAGAGCTCTTAAAATAACAAAGACAACAAGAAACAGAAAATACACTGACAGACATCTACAAATGTGTATGGCTAATACATAAATACTCAACCCCACTCTTAATTGAAGAAATACAAAAATAAAGCAATGAGACAAGCCTTCTTGACTAATTAAGAACAACAAAAGTATAACATGTGCTTCAAGGAAATGGGTACTCTCACATGGGTAGAAAAACGCAGAACTATGTGTCTAAACCTACAGATTTACGTTATTTCTTTTATGGAGAAATTTCACCTTATAAATTCAACCACAGAATATCATGATGGATATGTACATTGATGTTTGTCAAAGCATTGCTTTAAACAGCAGAAAAAATGGCAACCAATCTAGTAACAGAATTTTTAAAAATACTGTATAATAATTTATGCCATAAAAGAATATTTAATGGCATAGATATATACTCTGATATTCAAAACATATTACACACAATGTACTACATAAAAAATAAGGTTAAAGCACAGTATGCACCAATGTGATAGTAGTTATCTTTGGATGGTAGGTAATAAGCAATTTTAATTTCCTTATATTTGCTTTTTTCTCCCCAACAATGAACACATGTTATCCTTTGTTAAGAAAATTAAAAAACCACTATGAAAAATAAACAAATAAATGAAGAAATAAACTGGGTGCTACAGTTAGGATTAAAATTAAAAATCAGCCAGGCATGGTGGCGCACGCCTGTAATCCCAGTACTTGAGAGGCTGAGGCAGGAGAATCACTATGAGTTCAAGGCCAGCCTGGGCTACATAGTAAGTTCAAGGCAAGCCTATACTACAAGGAGAGCCCCTATCAAAAAACAAAACAATTGAAAAACAGAAAAAAGTTCTTTAAAAATGCTATGTAAAGATGCAAGCAATTCTAGGTACTCATAAATATATTCACATTTAATGTCCATTTTAATTTTTCCTAGAGCAGATCCCCCACCACAATAAAAATAATTTTAATAATTTAACATTTGGTAAATAAAATTAACACCAAGTATACACAATATTCAACCCCACGTATAAAGAACAAATTGAGATGAAATGCCAAATAATTAAAAAAAAACAAAAACAGGTTCAAGAGATTAGGCTGAGGCTGAAGTTTACTAGAAGAGTGCTTCCCTAGCATGTGTAGGCCCCTGAATATCATTTCCAGCACTGCAAACAAAAAGTTAGTGTGAATACAAACCGGTATAGCCTCTCTAAGGCAATCTGAGATTACGTATTAAAAAGTCTCGTACCTACACAAATCTGTTTTCCATTCTGCTTCCACAGACATTTCCTAGTGAAGTTATATGAGATATGGAGAAAAACCCATAGGCAGTATCTTAACAAAATACTGCAGGCTGGGTAGCTACAACAGAAATGTCATTTCTCACAGCTCTGGAGAGTGGGTCAAGATAGTGGCCAAGGGTTGGATGTGGTTGCGCATGCCTGTAATCCCAGCATGTGGGAGGCTGAGGCAGGAGGACCACTAGAAGTTCAAGGCCCCACTGCGCTACATAGCAAGTCTAAGGCCAGCCTGAACTAACTACATAGAGAGACCCTGTCTCAAAACCACAAAACAACAGAATGACACGGCCATCTCGGTTCATGATGAGAGTTCTCCTGCTTTGCAGATAGCTGTCTTCTTACTATGTCTGTAGATGGCCTGTCCTTACCAGATGCAGTTTCCTCTTCCTCCTCCTCCCTTCCCCAATTACCTCCTTTAATTACCTCCTAAAAGTCCTCGCTCCAAGTATCATCACACTGTGGGTAAGAGGTTCAGCATACGTAGAGGGGACACTATTCAGCCCAGGGAAGACAGCAGGTTAACTACTCATTATTTCTAACAGCAATATTTGGAAACAATCTAGATGCTCATCAGCAGGTAACGTAGCAAGTTATGGTGGGGCAGATGGTCACAGAATGGAATAGCAGGAGACACAGATGTTAAAAATTATTTTTTAGGCTGGGAGTAATAGCAAATTCCTATAATACCAGCTATTTGGAGGCAGGAGGATCACAAGTTCAAGGAGAGCCCAAGCAACATAGTGAAACTATCTGAAAATAAAAATTAAAAAGGGCTGAGGATGTAGCTCCACACTCTGTGGGTTTAATCCCCAGCGTATGTATGCTGAGGCTGGCAGGCAATACAAATGCAGATAACATACTGATACACAGTGAGGAGTGTAACTCAGTAGTACAGCACTTGCCTAGCACCCACAAGGCCCTGGGACTGACCCCTAGCAGCGGGCCCCTGCCAATGAAACCGTGAGCACAAACTGTGTATGTTGTATGGTTCCTTCTCAGAGAGGTGGACAGATGCACACATACAAAAGCAAATAGAACGTAGGAATAAAACACCAAAATACACCAAAATGTAAGCTGGGCATTGTCACAATGCTTGGGAAGTCGAGACAAGAGGATCATTGCAAATTCAAGGTCAGGCTGGGCTACACGGTGAGTTCGGGCCAGTCTGAACTACATAGCAAGACTCTCCAAAAATAAAACAAAACAAAATGCACCAAAATGTTAACAGTGGTGATCTCACAGTCGAAGAACTATGACCTTTAACTTTCTTCCTTACAATTTTTACAGTTCCAATTTTGTTAAACATGTCTATCTTACATAATCAAAAAGAAAGGGTTAAAAAATAAATGTATCGTGGGTAGTGGGTCTAAATAGTACCCCAATATATAATTCGGGACCTAGACCCCTTGAACCTGTAAGTACGAGCTTATTGGGAAAATGGTCTTTGTATATGTAATTAAAAGTTAAGGATCTTCAGACGAAATCATCCTGGACTTCGAGTGAGTCCTAATGCCAATGACACGTGTCCTTATAAAGGAGACAAGCAGAGAAAACACAGACACAGAAGGAAAGGTCGCGTGAAAACAAAGCCAAACGCTTCAGTTCAGCCATGTACTCTGGCAGCCACTAGATGCAAGAAGTATGAAACAGACTCTCCCTGGAGTCTCCCCAGGAATCGGCCCTGCCTGGGTCTCAGTGACAAATGTCTGGTCTCCAGAACAGTGAGAGAACAAATTTCTGTTGCCTGCAGCCATCAAATTTGTGGAATTTCTTATGGTAGGGCTAGGAAACTAACATACCATGTAGAGATGCAAAACTCACATTTAACAAACAGTAGAACACATACAGTTTTCACTTCTTTTGAAATAAACTCAACAAATGTGTCCATAGCCAAGAGACATCACTATAGGGCATTTACGAGCATTCTCGTCTCTGAAAGTGTATGTTTCCATACAGGGACCATTACAGTAAAAACAGCAGTTACTCCCCAGCAGACCCCAAGACCTCCTCCGTACTTACTAATGCCTTTCTCTTTGGGAGCAATCTTCTCCAAGTCTTTTAATTGAAATACATCTTTCTGTTTAAAAGGGTTAAAGGATAGAAGAAACACAGATATTACTTTTTACTGCATATTTGTACTTACCATGATTATGTTTATAAAACATTATATTATAAACCTATGCCTGAAAATGAACTGAGCAATAAAACAAAGAATTTTAAAACTAAAAGAGACTTTGTGATTATCTTATTCATCAACTTCCACAGAACTTAAAACAGACTTTTGCATGAACATATAATTCTTTAAAGTACTTGGATATCAAAATAACAACAAAATATACCTTCTCACTTAAGTAGAAAAACTAGTTATGGTTGAGTGGGTAACATAAGCCTCTCTGACACTGGCTTCATACAGACAATAGCCAGCTGCAGTGGCTAGGAGTTTGAGGACAGTTTGGGCTACAGGAGATCCTAGCAAAAGAAAGAAAGGGGGAGGGGGACAGTACTTTACTTAGGATATATCACAATCTATGGATTTAACTGCTCTAATTAAAAGCAAAACAGGTAACTGTCAAGATTTATTTATATTTAAACAGGACGTGGTGGTGCACACCTGTAATCCCAGCACTCGGGAGGCTGAAGCAGGAGGATCACTGCGAGTTCAAGGCCAGCCTGGGCTACACACTGAGCTCAAATCCAGCCTGAACTGCACAGTGAGACCTTGTCTCAAAAAGACAAAAAAAAAAGAAAGGAAGATTTGTTTATTTTTTAATTTTTTTTATTTTTTGTCTTTTTTTTCCGGTACCAGGAATCGAACTCACGACCTTGTGCTTGTCAGGCAGGCACTTTTGCCGCTGAGCTAACTCCCCAGCCCACAGAAAAATTTGTTTATATTTAAGGTTTCATGAAGCTGTTACACCTAAACAACAAAAAAATTACACATTTCATGGCTGTCTCTAAATTATTCACCTATACATTTTGTATGTCCTCCACACGCAAAGCAAAACACTATGGAAAAATATGCCTGTAGAATATTTAACTTGATGGGTGGGAGAAATGTACATCAAATAGTTCTCTCTGCTTGTAATAGATGTGGCTTAACTGGTGAAAATAACCTGGATAATTAAAGTACAATTATTTGAAAAGACTAAAGTATTCAAATGAGACCTCTAATCCTAGTTTTTTGAGGCCTCTCCATGCTGATTTCCACAGTCTACACTCCAACAGTGGAGTAGGGTTCCTTTTCCCCCACAGCCCCACCAGCATTTGTTACTGGTTGATTTCTTGATGATAGCCATACTTTCTGGGGTGAGATGGAATCCCAGTGTTGTTTTAATTTGCATCTCTCAGATGACCAATGATGTTGAACATCTATTTATTTGCTGCTTGTATTTCTTCAGAGAAGTGTACATTCATCTCAGATGCCCATTTTTGGATTGGGTTTTTCAATATGAGGGGTCTGAATTTTTTCAATTCTTTATATGTTCTAGATATAAGGCCTTAGAGGTCCCATTCGACCCACCTATTCTCCTGGGTATATTCCTAGAAGAATTAAAAACATACCACAGTGATATATGTGTACCTGTATTTATAGCAGCACAATTTGTAATAGCTAAATCTTATAAACAACCCAAATGCCCATCCACAGAGGAATGGATTTTAAAAAGTGGTCTTTTTATACAACGGAGTACTACTCAGCCATAAAGGATAAATTTGAAACATTTATAGGAAAATAGATGCACCTTGAGACCATACTCAAGTGAAGTAAATCAGACTCACATGTGTAAACACTGTATTGTCTCCTTGGTGTGAGGAACAGAGTAAATGAGGACCAAAATGTACAAGAGCTATCGTGAAGTGGGAAGAAATTATTCAAAAGGAAAAAGGAACTAAGGTGGGGGAAAGGAGAAAGGAAGGGCAGGAAAAGGAAAAAAAATACAAGATAGTTATTAGTCCTGTGAACCCTGGACAGTTGAACCCTGGGTCTGCCACAGAAGAGCGTATTTTTCCATATTACTCGTTTCCCTTAGTTCACTGAAAAGGAAGGTTTGTACCAATATTGTCTGGAAAATTTTTTATGCTCATACCTTATACTCTGAGTAACTACTTTAAAGATAACAATGTACGATATATTAATTATTGTTATTCTCCTATCATTTTGTTAGGAAATTTTGTTTTATTTTTCCCATTAAAAAAAAAAAAACTAAAGTATTCAGTAATTAGAACAGAAATACTGTGATTATTTTTATGGAAATCTGGGATCCATTTCTTCCAAAATCAAGTTTACTTGAAAGCAATTTCTACATAGGGAGACCCTGTCTCAACAAAACAAAACAAAACAAAATGAAAGCAACTTCAATTACGTGGAAATTAAACTTCCAAAAATTGAAAAGTTCTGTTCCTCCAAAGGGGCCCTGCTAGAAAAATGAAAAGACAAATCACTCCCAGAAGAAAATATTTGCAAAACAATACTTGACAAAGGATTGGTATCCAGCATATATATAAAGAATTCCTTTCAAGTATATTTTAAAAAAGAACTGGTAGATGGATAAAGGAGTGAAAAGATGAATACAGTCTGATAAAGCAAGTATACTTGTAGACTTGGATGAAAAGCTGTTTGATCTTTGCTGTATGTTTGAACATTTTTATAATAAAATGTTCAAAAAATTTCACCTTCCTATAGTTAAGATTTAACTTTGTTTTCACCTAAGATTTAACTTGTCTTTCACTGTACCCAAAGTTTAATAAATTAAGAAAATACTAACTGACTGGATTTAGAGAATGAGATCAATTTTTACATTTCTGGATATAAGATGTTTAAAGGTATTATTTATGATCTCAGGGAAGATGTAATAAAGTAAGACTACAAACAGACTTTTAATAATGCATTTGAAAAAAGTCTCTTTACAAATACTTTAGATTACTTGGCAAAGGAACACGAGCTCATTCAGACATCTGCCTATACGCAGTCAGCAAGGAAGAACTGCAGACACCTGTGGGCTTGCTGTGCTACTGAAGGAGCTTGTGAAGAGCTGGCCTCTGAACTTGGGCGGACAGGCAAATGCTGTCAGGTAAAACAGTACAAACGGTAGTTCTTAGACTCCTTGGGGTTAAGCATGATGGGGAGAGATGAAAAGGATGGTTCTAGCTTTAAAAAAAAAAAAAGCTATGTGCAAGATCTATAATTATAATATCAGATTAATGCAATCCAATGAAACCTAAAAGTTATAATGTTTTACACAGATTATCTCATTTTAATTCTCAAAGTACACTGTGAGCTGGGTACTACTTCACCCTTTTTAATAAAGACACTGAGACACACAGAGGACCAGTAACTTCCTTAGGTAAAAGAGATTCCAGACGTAAGTTCTCAGTCACACAGGAGTTATGCTCTTCTATGTTCTTCCTCAGTGCAACTGGCAATGAATTCTCTTTGTTATACTGGTAGCTTCAGACATAGACACACGTAGGTATCTATACACTTACGATATGTCTGTCTCCTTCTCTGCACTTATACATTTATAGATTCTCTCACTGTAAGTGTGGTCATTCCAGGACACCATACACCAATGGAAAGCCATTTAAGCCTGTGCTAAGGCAGTATTCAGAAAACTCAGCAAATGTTCATTGTTATTTTGTGCCTCAAACCAGTCCCTGTCTTCATGAGCTGTCGTTATTACCAAGACTGTTTTAAAAAGATTTCCAAAACTTCACACTTAAAATGAGAGGCAATACCGTAGGTGGTACTTTGTTGGCTGTTTTTCTAATTTGATTCAAAACATAATATATGCTTGCTGGAGGCAGCTGAGTGAAGACAATAAACAGGGCAACACCCTGCACATGGCAGCTATCACCAGCATTATTTCAGGCAGGAGGAGACACAAATACTGCTTCAGAAAGGCAGTTCTGGTGCCAGTATTTAGGGCAGTCTGAGTAAAGAGAACCTACCAACAGGGGTATATGGTTCTCCCAGACTCCAAAGCTCACAGGCACCACAAAGGTTTGCAGAATTTTACCCATCCTTCACGAAACTGATCAGTATAGACCTCTAACAAGCACAGACTATTAATGTTGGAGTACTTAATGGGAAAATACAAAATCTACTAACTGCAAACATACATTCAATGTGAAAATTAACAAAATATTAAAAATCTTAAAACAACTTACAGTCTCAAAAAATATTTGCATCATACGGGCTCTCTTTTCTTCTGCACTCAGTCCTTTTTTCTTTGACTAAAACACAAAAGAAAAAAAGGTAAATGTTGCCTTTTTTAAATACTGGATTTCAAATGACTTGGTGTGAAATATTATCTGAAACTTTATGCATGATCTTATCTGATATCAATAGGTTTGATCCTCTTAGTCAGGCCTAACTTGTCACTTGTCATTGGCACATCACTACTATGTGCCAATCTCCATGATTGGTGCTACCAATGTAACAGCAAGAGGAGTGATTAAGATGGTGCCTGGCATTTTGCAGACATCAAATATTTATAAAACAAACCAATGATAAGTAATCTTCAAAGGGTTTACAAACTCTCACAACCACTTACAACTAATGAACAGCTACATGCATAAATACCCAGGACAGAATGAATTCATTCCACCCTGGGGAAGAAGGAAGCCCAGAGGTGAGGGGGAGCTTTGGCAAGTTGAGAGCCCCTGAGAAGGGTGCCTTGGGCAGGCCACACAGGCTGCAGTGTGGGGTGGCAGATTAGAAAGAGATGAGGAGATCAGAATGGATTAGAGGAATCAGAATGGTGTCTGGGGCCAGATCATGGAAGGCTCCCTGGGAAGAGAGACTTCTAAACAGTGAAGAACTACAAAGTAATCTCTAACGCAGGGGCGTAACAAGGTGAGGTGACATTTTAGTGTATTAACTGTGGTCCTAATGTGAAGAGATGGCTAGAGGAAGGGAAAGCCTATCCAAGTAGAAAAGCGGAGCTTACTCCGTTATTATTATTCTGTAATACTCTAGGCCAATTTGAAATTAAGATAATCAATATATAACTGAAATGTACATATAATACATTCTACTATTATATAGAGAGAATATGTGCACATAAAGCTAAAATTCCACTTCTTCAAAAAAAAAAAAAAGCCAAATTTCAACTTAAAGATCTGCAGAAAAAAACAAAACCCCAAACAGTGAAAACCATCACCTCTAGCTCTCTGACATGGAATTCCATACTAATGTTTTTAAGTGATCTGCGTCTTTCCCCAAAATTAGATGGGATCATAGGGAAATAATCCATTTACTTAAAAAGCAGGCACAACAGAGATGACACTATTCAACCAAAAACTCCACGGGACAATGTCAATCTACGATGCATGGGGAAAGGGAACTGGATGGCTATTCTAACTACACACCGAGTGTGGGAGTCTATGCCTTCCTCAAAACCTAGAAACTCAGTAACTCATTGCAATGAAATGATCCTGTGTTTCCTGATAGTCAGACGAGTAAATAAGAAGCCCTAAAATTTGTAGTCTTTTTTTCCTTCTCAGTCTACTCTCAAACACTGCAGTTCCTCAGAGTTTGGCTACTGATACCCTCATCCACTCACCCCTTTCCTTTGATCTCCTCTGCTTCCATGGCTTTGATTAACACTTGAGCTGAGACCGCAGATCTTTACATCTGCCCTGGAGCGCGCTCCTGCACTTCAGGCTCCTGTATGTATCTGCCTGCTGGACGGAACTTCCCGGCCAACACCTCCTCCCGAACCTGCTATTCCATGTCCACACTGTCATCCATCCCAGAGGCGAAGCAGTCATGCTAGGTGCCTTCGTCTCTCTTACTTCACACCCAATCAATTGCCAAGTTCTGCCAGATCGGGCGCTTCACTGTCTGTCTCTGTTGTCCTGCCAGCCATGTCCCACCGCAGGGCTTCATGATCTGTATCCTGCAGTGCACCTCCAGGCCCCTCACTACGCTCTGTCGCACTCCACGTTCACCTTTCACACTATGAGAAAGCGAATCCCACCATCCCTCTCCCTCGCTGAAGACCCTGCAGGGGTTCCCAACCACTGTCCACGCACCCCTACTTTGGTATCAAAGGCCTTCTACCACCGACTCCAACTTGCCTGTCTCAGCCGCTCCCTACCTCAAGTTTTGCCATAACAACAGGATGAGCTGAGCAACTGGGGTTGTAATTCAAAGACTGTTCTCTGCCCAAAGCATGCTCCACCTTCTGTGCCTTTTAAAAAATGCTATTCCTCCACATGAAACACCTTTTTGCATACTCAAATTCCAGACCGTCTCCTAAGGCCCAGTCCAGGGAGGTGCTCCTAGAATGTCCCTGGGCTCACGGGGTAAGCCTGTGTTTCCAGGACACACAGTCATCAAATCCTTTACTACACTCAAGAGATGAGTTTCCATGTTTCCACTCAGCAGACGGAAACACTTCAGGATATGAACTGCCTTGGCCTTCCCTGGCCTGACTAAACCAGGCTGGTCGGCCCGCCAGCCCTGAACTGTGGAAGCCCTGAGCTCTGAAAGTTGAAGCAGCTCAGGCTCCCAGGCCCCCCAATACTTGCCACACTTCCATACGTACTTATGTGGGGTGAATTAATAACGGGGAATCTGTGATGACTACCTATTGCCTTGCTTGAGGAGATAAATCAGAGCAATCTCAGGCAGACGAGCTCCAGGAAACAATGCAGACCGGTTCACTAAACCTAGGGCTGAGAGCTCCACTTCAGGACAGCTTACCAGTCTCCCTTCACACTGGCCCCTGTAGTACCTTAAAATCCAGCATGAGATTCACACCTACTTAGAAGGCTCCTCGGCTCACTTCTTGCTTCCGCTGAGTCTCAAAATGCCACACATTAGAATCAGCTCAGGTGCTTTTTCAAAAATACAGGTGCCCAGGCACAGCCTGTATGAACTGGGCATGCGTATTTTAGAGGTCCTCTCCAGGCACTTTAACTGGGTCCCGGGGTTGAGAGCTTTTTCAAACCAGAATCCAGGGGACCTCGGGGATTCCATGGGGCAGTAAAAATCCCTCAGACCATGGCTGCTTTGGCAGTTGTAGGGCAAGGTTCCTAGCATTTTCGAAGCATAAACAGCTTCTGGAAAGCCCCTTGCACTCCACCAGCCCGGCAGAGGCAGGCAATAATAAAGGAACTCTAGCGTCCTGGGGCATGGTTTTAGGAAGCTCTCAACACTCGGCAGCTTATACAAGTGATTCAAGAAGTGCGGCTGTGCTGGATCACCCATGCACCGTGTTTTCAGACTGCTTTACTCATCCGTCTCTTTTACAGCCAGAAATAATTTTTATCTTTAACTACAGCAGGAAAGTATTATGGTCAGAATTAAAAAGACTACCATAAAAGGATGTCGTATTAATATCTACATTTCAAAACTTTACAAAATAACGAACCAGGACTTTAGTACTTACGACTAGGAAAATTATCCTGATGGTGTGAGTTCAAGTTCGTAAGGAGGTGACTCAAAACTTGGCTTGTGAACTGATGCTTCTTGATTAACCAAAATATTTATTTATTGATTTATTTATTTTTGTCTTTTTGAGACAGGGTCTCACTATGCAGTTCAGGCTGACCTTGAGCTCACTTTGTAGCCCAGTCTGATCTTGAACTTGCAACGACCCTCCTGCCTCAGCCTCCTGAGTACTGGGATTACAGGCGTGCGCCACCATGCCCGGCTCAACCAAAATATTTTAAACCGCTTAAAAAAACCTTGTGTCTAAAGTTTACAGACTTTACCTAGTACTAGCCCTGTTGGTCAATTACAATAAAATTTTGAAAAAACAAAAATGTTATCAGCGGCCCTGGGTTGCACTTCTCCAATTCCAAAAGTATGACTGGACTCGTAATGGTCTACCGAACAAAACAAACCAAACAGTTACTAACTGACAATGAAGAAAGGGTACGACCTGCCTTTTACCAACACACCACTCATCTGGCTCGATCAGGTACCTAAGGGGCAGGTACTCATCGATGTAGGGCGCATCTGTCTCACACTTCTCCGTGACCAGACGCATCTCTCCGAAGAGGTAACAGCACACTGAATCCCGCACCGTCACGGGGATCAGCGTGTACACAGGCGAAATAAAAGCACGAGGCAGACGGACCGCGCTGTGCCCCGCGCAGGCGTCAGTTATGTTAGGCGCCAACTCCACAGAGCGCAGTCCGCCGAGCGCCAGCGCCAGCCCAGGTGACCGTGTCGGTAGTTTAACCGCAAAGAAGCCGTTTTCGGTTAAAATGCACCGCGGGGCCCCCCTCGCGGGGCTCCCGGGCCGCCGGGGACGCCG